GTCAGAGCTAAAAAAACACAACTGACTTACACCTTGTCCAAACTACAAGCAACACGACAATATTCCAGTGACAAGCAATTTGTCTGTCTGCACCAAACGCAACAGAAAAAATAAAACTCTATAACCCTTAATTTAAATTTCAGCTACTCCTGACAAAATGGGAAACGCTTTTAATCTAATTGATGCATATTAAACCTCTTTAAAGTACAACTGAAATCAAATCCAACCATGTTGATTTAGTTTGCTCACATTGTTTGGGCTCTATTTTGACAGTCTATGCGCAGGGCGCAAACGCTTTCAGGGCATGTCAGAACACATTTTTGCTAATTTAAGGATGTTAAAATCTGCTTTGCGCCACGGCGCATGTTCTAAAAGGGTTGAGTTTATTTTCTTAATGAGTTATAGGTGTGTTTTGAGAATAAACCAATCAGAGTCTCATCTCCCATTACTTTTAAGAGCCAGCTGCGTCGCGCCATAAGCGCACATGACGTAAAGTAAGTTCACTTTCGCTTTTGCTCTCGTGGATAGGAAAACCCTCCCGCACAGACATCAATTAGCCTATAAATAATTAATTTAGTTTGTTAAGTGCAAAGATTTGTTTCAAAACTATTTCTAGATTCAGTTCTAATTTCCAGCAAACGAATAAATGAACAATAATAACAAAGTGTGCTCAAAATACTGAGTTATTTCCAAATACACCTGCCATGCCCCATATGGTCTAAAACCTGACAGGTGGACAAATCTAAGATTGTTTTTAATAAAACAAATATAAATATGGATATAATAAATAATACTGCTAATAATAACAACATTATACAAAAGCAAATTGAATGAACTGAAAAAGCCTCCTGAGATGAAGAAAGTATGCTAGCAATGGTTTTTAAATCTTCATGTAGGCTAGAAATTAATATGTTTTGTAATATTTTAATCATTTATATCCTATATATATCCTTATTATATATATCCTTAATATATTTTATCTTTTTCATATGTAAAGATATTTGCGTATTGCTCTGCATCTTGTGTGTAGTGTGTAAGCCAGGTGCACTTTGCGCCAGACAATAGACCGACTTTGTTCTGGTCTAAAGATCAGACTATTTACAGTTTCTCAAAATAGCAACGCGCCAAAACACGCCTGCTTTATTAGAGCAGAACGCCTATGGGCGCACATTTGAGCGCAAATGCATTTGCTATTTAAACAATGTGGCGCAACACCTCAAAATGACCCTTGCGCCGAGCTGAAAGTAGCAAAAGACTATTGCGCTGCGCCTTGCGCCACATTGCGCTGGGTGTATGATAGAGCCCTTAGTTTTGTGGTGAACAGTTCATCTGTGCATGTCATTAAGAAAAATAATAGTTTGCCTTTCTAATCTAAAATTAAAATCTGAAAATGCACCTCCTGTTTGTTTTCAGTTATATTCTCAGATTACAGGATTTTGAGGTATTGGGTGTGGCTAACATATATAACCACGCCCCTCCAACTATCAGTTTTGACAACTAACAGAAATGGTGAGGAGGAGGAGGAGTCTGTTAGCTTGTATCAACCCTCCTCCTATCCTTTTCCCCATCTTTTTGAATGAAATGCTTACTACAGCCAATCAGCTCTCGGTATAAAAACAAGCCACGCCCACTGTTTTCTCATTTAATATTTAGTTTCTCTGGGAACTGCATCACAATACAAAAAACGCAACTTCCAGTTCATTTGGACTTTAATAATAGGCTACTGAGTGAATGATGTTGAGGGTTTGCACTGAATCACATTTCTGACTTTAATCTTCAAACCGTTTGCTAGTTATTTGATTTTCAAGATCTGAGGTGATCTGCTGCTGGTTTTTGTAGTACAGCAATAGATGTCACATAGAATGTTATTTAAGCTCACATTGGTAGCATTTAACACTGAATAAAGCACACAATCAGTACCTGAGGTGATCATTGCAATGCTGCGTTTTGCTCTTTTACAATGTAGATTGTGTCAAAGCAGCTTCACATATAAGATCATAGTAAATGTAAACAGTGTAGTTCAGTTTTCAGAGTTTAAGTTTAGTTCAGCTCACTTCAGTGTGGTTTAATATTCACTGCTGAGAGTTCAAACACTGAAGAGCAAATCCATCCATGCGCAGCTCTACAGATCCTGAACCATGCAAGCCAGTGGCGACAGCGGCGAGGAAAAAACTTCACCAATTGGCGAAATTAAAGAATTAAAAAAACCTGGAGCAAGTACATAGTAGTAAAGGACACTTAATATAAAGTGGAACCAAAATATCTAATAAGATATTAAAATATCTTAACTGTTTAGTCATTTAAAATGTTGTTTATTAAAAAAAAGATATACTATTGCACATGTTTAGTTTCAGGAATTAATCAATTGTATTTATACAGTACTTATTAATATCCAGTATGGAGAGCGACTCATACTCTTATAGTGTGCTTAGCTTGAATATTTGCTGCTTTTTTCTGCATTATCCTTCCTAACCACAGCATAAACTACTTTAGTAGCCATTATTTAGTAGTGAATTAGAGTTTATTGAGGCAAACCCTGTATTTAATGGTGAGCTGTGCTTTCCCCATACTGAAGTGCTGCTGATCTACATGGCTGAATATAATGCTTCATTAAAGATCATTCAAAAAGAAGGTAATTACAAAAGCGTCAAGTGTCCCCGGTGAGTGATTGAACTGAAGGACTGTAATTACAGCAGATATCAGACGCTCTCGGTGGATTCAGACGCTTTGTAATCGATCTCTTTCAACTAATATTTCCGCAAATATGTTTATGAATGGATAATCCTGGAATCTCTCGTTCTGGCGGGAACACGTGACGCTGAAAGAGCGCCAACATCATCCCTGCTGTAAAAATATCCCAAATCTAATCCATCCTTGTTGAAAAATCCAGCTTAAACCAGCCTAGGCAGGTTGGCTGGTTTTAGCTGGTCTACCAGACTGGTTTTAGAGGGGTTTTGGCCACTTCCAGACTGGTTTCGAGCCATTTCCAGCCTGGTCTTAGCTGGTCAGGCTGGGAGATGACCAGCTAAAACCACCTTGGCCAGCCTAGCCAAGCTGGGAGTCCAGCCAAAACCAGCTATATCCAGCTTAAACCAGTCTGGTCAAGCTGGTTTTAGCTGGATATGGCTGGTCATTTTTCAGCCTGACCAGCTAGACCAGGGTGGAAATGGCTGGAAACCAGCCTGGAAATGGACAAAACCCCTCTAAAACCAGGCTGGTCGACCAGCTAAATCCAGCCAACGAGCCTAGGCTGGTTTAAGCTGGATTTTTCAGCAGGGATATGTAGGAATCAATTGACTTAATTCAAAGAATTGATTTCTCACTGTTGTTACGATTCTTTATCGAGTACAAAATGTCCGTAAATTATCAGTTTTCTGCATTTTGTGATTTATGTTTTTATTCTTACCCATTTATTTATGCCTTTAAATTGCATTATGGGAGGTTGATCTTTATTCCAACAACTTTTAACCTCGAAATGTTTGATAAAAGTGACTTTTATGAACATTTTTAATAGTGTGCAGTGCTATATTGTCTGGGTTGGTGTTGTATATTACTCTACAGAAACTTTGTAATACACTGCAGCACATTTTCTGTTATTTTACAGACTTATTTCTCTAGATATTATTTTATATGTTATATTATTTCAAATTATATTAACATGTCACTAAAGTCACTTTATTAAACTGTAGAGTTGAATTTTTAGCATCAAAAGTCAACAGAGCAGTGATCGACATCTCATAAGGCAATTTGCAACCGGAAATAAACCCAAAACACTTGTGAATCACAAAATACAGACACTGGTAACTGTTTTTACAGTGTAGCCTAAATAAAAGAAAGCTCGATCAAGCGTTCAGCAATGAGTTATGGATGAATTAAGCAGCCAATTTATTATTATTAATACTCTCATGCACAGAAATGAGAGAAAACCTGTGCAGAAAAACAATTAATGCAAGAAAATACAAATCACATCCTAGAGCAGTCTAAGATTATTAATGTACAAAACATAATTGCAAGAGTAAATGCCAAAACAAGCATTATAATGACCTGCCTGCTGTCAATTTCACTTTATTTTCCCAACATAGCTTTTGTAAAGTAATAAACATTATTAACACAAGACAGACTTACTGAATTTTCCACTGATGTTTACATTATTTAGTCTTATTATTTAGAAAATAAATGCATGACTCAGGAAATATGAGCAATGAACTGCAATGCACCAAAACTTATTTGTTCATAATAATAATCAGTTTATTTATTTATTTATTTATTTGTTTATTTATTTTAGTTATTAATTTGTTTCTTTATTTTATATATTTATTTTATTTATTTGTTTGTTTATTTTATTTATTTATTTATTTGTTTATTTTATCAATTTATTTATTTGTTTGTTTATTTATTTTATTTATTTATTTTTTGTTTATTTTATTTGCTTATTTATTTATTTATTTATTTATTTATTTATTTATTTATTTGTTTGTTTATTTTATTTATTTATTTATTTGTTTGTTTTATTTATTTATTTTATTTGTTTATTTTATTTATTTATTTATTTGTTTTTATTTATTTGTTTGTTTATTTTATTTATTTATTTATTTATTTTATTTATTTATTTGTTTGTTTGTTTATTTGTTTATTTAATTTATGAATTCGTTTGTTTATTTTATTTGTTTATTTATTTGTTTATTTATTTGTCATTTTATTTATTTATTTATTTATTCATTCATTCATTATTTCCCCCCATGTATAAGCCTTTATTAAAGTTTGCAAAATACATTTTCTGAAAAACAAATATGAATGCCCTGTGGGATTTAGCTGATGTTTGGATGATTAACATGGTAGGACAGAAATACTGATGAGAAACAAACACACAGTGTTCTGTTTCAGATGTGGCGTTTGTGATTTCATAACTCTGGGATGTCTCTGTAATAGATAAAGCTCAAGCAAGAACAACAAATTTGACAGAAAACACTGAAAGAAATGCATTTTTGTGTCTCGTTCAGGTCAGGTCGTCCTCTGGAGGATCAGATTTCCAGACGAGGTCAAATCATTCACAGCATCAGGAGCGTCTCATTATGACTGAAACACATCTCCTCCTATCCCATAAGCCCCTGCTGGGTTTTTTCAGTGAGTGCGCAGAAGCTACTCATTTCCTTTCGCAGATTAGCTGTGTGTGATTTACATCTTTTCCCACTCTGAGATCTGTCATTTTGAAGCAGGAAGTAAACGTTGCTTTCCTGTTCAGATTGCTGCTGTGTTTATTGTGTTCCCATTGAGTAATGAGTGTGTTTCTCTGCCTGAATTCAGTTGTGTGTGAAATATTGTTGTCAAGCATAACTAGTTCTCATACTGCTCATAATTTACCTTGTAAAGGATTTAAACATTTAATATGTCAAAGATGCCAAAAGGATAAAACATGTCCCATGTAAAAAGAAGAGAAAAGTTTAAGTAATAGACGAATGATGTATGTGGTAATGAGGTGGGAAAATAATAAGCTTGTGCTTCATCCCACTCCATTTTTGACCATGTTGAAATGTATTTTTTGTTTATTATATTTTGATATTTTTGTTTGAAAATAACTAAATCAAATTTAAAAAGCTAATTTTAAATGTCAGTATCATTACCTGTGAATTTCAAAAGTGCTACAAAGTGCAAGACATCTTAGCAACCATCCTAACAATCACCCTACATCTTAGCAACAACCTGTCAATCACTCTACATAGTTCGTTGATTTGCCGTTTCTTAAATCCGTCATCCCAACAAACATTCACAAACTGCATCGCAAACTGGTTCGCTTGCAACTACACCTCTCGAGCTGTAGTTAGACGCAGAGCTGCTGGCTGTGTTCTATTCCCCCGTTATCCCCCCTATGCCCTATTCATTTAGAACATTCCAACATTTACACACTGAAAAAAAAAAATTCAAAGATGATTCCTTAGATTTACTAAAAACAACTAAGTTAAGTGGTTGTAAACAATTTATTTGGGCTGATATTAAATAAAAAAATTAAGTTGAACATTACTAAATATAATTTATTTGTTTAAATTAAACCCATATAAATTGTTTGCAACTACTTTGCAGACATCTTTTTTTTCAGTGCACTTGGAATGATTTTTTAAAAAACACTAAGGTGTAATTTGCTTTCAAAGTATTTTTACAGTTCAGTTTTAGCAATCTCCATATTGACAATTGCGTTCCCTTCGTAGTGCACTTTGAAAACAGTTATGCCATTTTCAACGCAGCCGTAAAGCTGTAGGTGACCTCTTATTTAAAAGCGGAATTTACGTTACATCTCCAAAGCTTGTGAAAGCATAAGTATATAGCTTAGGTTAATGCTTTTAATTTATAGCAGGTTATTTATTAAGAAATGTTTCTGTATGAACTGTATGACATGGGCATGTTGGTTAGAACATTTCCGCAGTGGTTTGAATGTGTACAATAAATAAAATTAAATAAAAAAATACACAAGATCCTACATAATAACAAAAAAGTTATTGTTATTATTTATATTTCTTCTTTTCTTAATAAATAGCCTACTGTAAATTACCCATAACGGTTTATATGATTTATATATATGAGGTTAGAATATGTGTCAGCTAAGTGGTGTTATGTTTAATAACAGGATATGGAATATTCGCAATAATATTTGTAAAGGAAACATTGGGCTCTATTTTAACGAGCTAGGCGCAAAGTCTAAAGCGCAGGGCGCAAACGCATTAAGGTCGTTCTGCGTCTGCTCGCAGATTCCATGTGGGCCTGGCCATGTGTTCAGTCATTGTTTGGGAAACGCACCCCAGTCTAGCATCACGTCAGCAGTGTTTTTCACAGACAAACAGCACCTTGTTTGATGCAAGTCGAAGTAATTGAGGAAGCGCGTCAGATCAGACGTGGTAAGCATGCTTTGTTTTCAGATTTTTAGTGTTATCTCCACTAATGAGGCAGAGGTGTTTTACTCAAGCATTTCATCAAAGACTTGGACCTCCATCAGTCCAAACTCCTGCAACTAAACTCCAGTATTCATATTCATAAGTGCATAATGAGCATTATAGAGTTTAAAGGGCCATCATGAGACTGAGGCTAACAGGTATTGAGCCAGCTTGTAAACAGCACCAAATTGTTATCGATTAACAAGAAGTGCCGTGAGAGGTGATAGTGCAGTCCCCTCAAGAAAAAGTGCAATTAATCAAAGAGTGTTTAGGTGGAGCTGCGCCTGGGGGGAATTACATCATAGCATTCATTGAAAATGTTAATACCTGCACGTCTTTTAGGTTGTACTTAACTCGCCCCCAGTTTTTTTAAATAAAAATGACGTGTTCAACTTAAGTGATGGCCAATCGGCAGCAGTTTTGTGCATATATATATATGTATGTGTGTGTGTGTGTGTGTGTGTGTGTGTGTGTGTGTGTGTGTGTGTGTGTGTATATATGTGTGTGTGTGTGTGTGTGTGTGTGTGTGTGTGTGTGTGTGTGTGTGTATATGTGTGTGTGTGTGTGTGTGTGTGTGTGTGTGTGTGTGTGTGTGTATATATATATATATATATATATATATATATATATATATATATATATATATAAGCTTTGTCTTGTTTTAAAGATGACAGATGTCAGGTTGTAGCTTAAGTGAAAAAATTAAATAAAACAATTGTGCCTTTCATAAAAATAATAAAAACAACTAATGTATATTTTATTATTTTACTTACAATATATAATAAATATAATAAATATAATGCTAAACATGTTTTAAGCTAAAATTGACGTAATAAAGCTAAATAACTGAACAAATTATATTCCAAATTTGAAGTTGATATCTCGAAAAATGAGCTTTCAGTAAGATTTTGTTGAGTCGCAGTACCAGAGATGACCACCAGGCATTCAGTTCCCATTGGTGACCATACAAGGGCACAACAGGGCTTGATATGTACCAAAACAAGCTGGATCTGGATCCGGTACCTCTGAAATCTGATCCGTCCTCCCCTCCTGAAGGATCCCTCTCCTCACACGCACCCCTGTCCCCGCTTTTAACTTTCTTCCGCAACTCCCCAGCCCTCTTCACTTTCATCCGCGACACCCACTTTCATTTTCATACCTCTTTACCTTCGTCCGCGACACCCACCTATATTTTCGTCGCTCTTCATTTTCTTCCGTGACACCGACCTTCATTTTCGTCACTCTTCACTTTCGTCCACGACACCTACCTTCATTTTCGTCGCTCTTCACTTTCGTCCGCGACACCCACCTTCATATTCATCGCTCTTCACATTTCGTCTGTAAACCACCCTCCACCCCTGCTCTTCACTTTCATCCACCCCGTCCTCTTGTAGCATGCTGGATCTGTTACCCAAATCTGTTCCGGGACCGCGCAGTTTAAATTAAGCACTGTTAAATTAAGCAGTTTACAAATTAAGCACTGTGTGCACCCTATGTTTTGAGGAATATGAGCTGTATTATTTCATACTTTTATCAATATTTGTACAGTATACACGAGATTCTAAAGTAGTATGTGAGGTTTGGTGGTGTTTGATTTGAAATTAGTCTTTAAAAACAGCTAAAAACAATTTATATGTGGATTGCTGTAGCAAAGTAATAATTTACTCTGATGAGCATCCTTGTTGCATGTAAATAAATAACTATTGCTCTATAATATCAATCAAAAATCTGTCACCAGATGTGGAAACTAGACATCATAAGCTTTCAAATGATATATATTTTGTCATGATTGCTTTGAGGGTGTCACGGTAGCGCAGTGGGGAGCACAATCGCCTCAGTCCAAACACATACGCTATAGGGGAATTAATTAACTAAATTGGCTGTAGTGCATAAATGTGATTGCAAGTGTGTATGGGTGTTTCCCAGTTTTGGGTTGCAGCTGGGAGGGTAAAACGTGTAAAACATATGCTGGATAAGTTGGCGGTTCATTCCGCTGTGGCAAGCCCTGATTAATAAAGGGACTAAGCCTAAAAAAATGAATGAATGATGATTGCTTTGTTTAGTTATTATGAATAAATGCAACAGTAAATGCTCCCTCATGTTGTTGGATGACAGTAAATGTGCTTTAATTCATCACTCTTCCTACATAACAAAAACAATAGCAAATTTATTTATATAAAAGTCTTAGACATGGGGTGCCAAACTCAATTCCGGCAGAGTTTAGTTCCAGTCCTGCTTCAACACACCTATCTGAAGGCATCAAACAAGCCTGAAGCACTCAATTAGTTTGATCAGGTGTGTTTAATTAGGGTTGGAACTAAACTGTGCAGAGCTGCGGCCCTCCAGGAACTGAGTTTGACACCTGCGTCCTCTCCAACCAGATTAGATTAGGATTTAATTGCAATACAGTGATATAAAAGTAATGGTCCTGGTGGCTAATTAAGAGTCAGTACTGTCAACATTATACAATTAACAAACTAAATTATACAGCCTTCTAGTCTGTTTTTATACACAATGCAGTTTTAATTGTATACTGATTGAAATATTAATGCTGTTGCATCTCTGATATTTTCTTGACTGCATATATTAATATTTACTTATTATTTTGTCTGAGTTGCGTATGTGAGATGAGTGAGATGCTAATCTGTCAGTTTTATGAGTAGTATATTTATTAACGTGTAGGAATGTTGTACCTTTCTATTTTTATATGTATTTTAAAGCTTGTATATACACTCATAAATAAATAAAAATAAAAATATATAGGTCTATATACATCTTTTTTGCTGCTTGTTCAAACAAATTTCGGTTTTCAGTCCACTTAAATTTGCTAAAGTCAGTAATCTTAATTGATCTGAGTTGGGACAGCGTGAATGAGTTGAGTGAAACCCTGCATTATTATGGTGGCTTGAGCCAACACACTGTTACACTACATACACTTAATATTCTTCCGTCTTCTGAGACTAATTTCTAAATGCATCTCCTCCTAGATCATTCATTCTACAACCACCAAACTAACACCAAACCTCCAAACTGGTCTGATCCGACTTACTGTTTTCCCAAAACTGACTCGGAAAATTCGAAAAAGTCCCATTGACTTAACATTGGGCCAAACTTTATGACCTCATAACTTTGCGCCAGACTGTCGTACAGACTTAAGATTGGGCTCATTTAACTCAGACTACCGTTCTGCCAATCACTGATGACCTTTTAACTTACTAGCCACACCCTAGCAACAGTCCCACTTCCATTGTAAAAAAAAAAAAACTGCCATTGACTTTACATTGGACATAATAAAGACATAACAATTCATACCAACAATATACTAATCCATACTAGAAACATGCTAATTCTGTAATTCATACTATGAACATACTAGCAACATGCTATTTTATGCTAAATTCATGCTAACAACATGCTAGTTTATTCTATAAACATATTAACGATGTGCAAACTCATCCTAAAATTCATACTAA